GTTTGACACTTTGAAACACTCCGAAAAAATTCCTGTTTCAGATCAAAGGCTGTTATGCTAATCTTGAGGAACATTGCAGATGCATATCCATGTGGGTGTATATGTTTACTCATTATTAGTGAAGATAAACTATTTAGCATTATACCACTGTGAAGAGCTGTGTAACTTCACCTTGTGAAATAGTCAACTTTGTGATTACCCCTGCAGGAAAATGCAGCTAAAACTAGATTAGGAAGAGCTGGTCGTTAACTGGTTCAGGTGGTTGAGCCAGTTAGTAGTGACGATTCTCTCTGACCAATCAGTGATCAGCAGTGTTTACTAGGGCTGGGTATTGAGACAAATTTCACAATTCGATTCGATTTCGATTCACAAGCTTGCAATTCGATTCGATTTCGATTACGATTCGATTCGATTCAATATCGATTATTTTGGATATCAGCTACAATAAATGGCAATTTTTCTCAAGGGAATCAAATCTCTTAAATGCTGTAAACTATGGTCTATAGTCTAGTTGTAGCCTACTAGGCTTCATTAGCCTAATATGAAGGTAATAATTAACTGTTTTGTAGCTATACAAACACTTAAATTACACTTTTATTTATTTTTATAATAAGAAGATTATATGAAATATAAACATTTAAATGGTGGCTGTCATAAAAACTTGCCAGATTTATTCAAATATGCATTAAATATTAAAGAACACCGACGAGTGTGGACTAACGAGTTTATGTGGGTTTTCTGAGGTAAATATGACGATACATGACATTGATTACAAGCTGTTTAACTGACGTCTTTCCACGGTTGAAACGCAGATTGAGCGAATCAATGTGAAATGATAGGGATTTAGATAAGTTGTACTCTGTCTTTTAACACACTTTCAGATGCTCATTCATGTTTATTTCGCGCTGTGACTGGTATTATTAACCCGGAAGAGAGATCAGCCCTGCTGCTTCTCTGGAGCTGCGCCAGACCGATCTCACGCCACAGCGCCAAAATGGCAAAACGCTATTTATGTTTTTGAATTTCTAAAGAAATGTGCGTAATTTGAAAATTGAGACTTTGTTTCATATCAATAGTAACAAAGGACAAAGATTATTGCGATTTGTTGGATGCGCGCAGCCGCGATACAATGTCTCATTCATTCAAATGAAACAGGATGACTAATCGATTCTTGAGATTTAAGAATCGATATCGGTTTGTAAAAATTAGAATCGATTAATATCGAGAAATCGATATTTATTACCCAGCCCTAGTGTTTACACGTCACATTCTAGTATCGGTACGTCTCGCTTGGAACCTCAACTGAGGTACTAAAAAAAGTACCATCTACTAGGTACTGTACACAGTGGAAAACCCACCAAAAGTGAGCCGTACCGAGCTGTACCAAGCAGCAGTGTTGTGCCTGAACGCGTTCATTGAACGTTCATATTTTGGGCGAACGTGAACTGAACGTACTGTATTACTGCCTGATGAACGTTGCTGTGAACGCGTTCATTCTGGTGTCAGTGAACGCACGCTCTCTCAGTTTGACTTCGTACAATAGGATGCCAGATTTCTATAGAGCCTTCCAGGTGAAAACCCGGCTAAAACACACGTAAACGGGCCTTAATATGTAGTGAAAATAAACCCAATCTGGCAACACCAGCCACCAGTGTTGCACCGCGGCCACCGTCGACAAAGCTGCGAGCGAGGAGGCGTCGTTTGGTCATTTTAAACTGTTTTTATGACGAGGTCGGTGAGGATGGGAAAAATCGTACGTTTCTGTGCAAAGCAAACTGCCCATCGATAAAATAATTGTTGTCTGTGGTTGTATATGAGCTGTGGCAATAATAAAAATAAAAAAAAGCTCGTAACATATGGAAAAAAATAAGTTCTTTTTTTTGAAGTATGAACTATGAACTGAACTAGTTCATTTTAAACTCGTTTATGTAGAAATTGAACTTTCCCAACACTGTAACAACACAAGTAAACCACCTTGGTTAAAGCCCCCCTTAAATACACCCTTGCTTCATTTAGTATATACGGGCCCATGAATATGCAAATTATCCCCACCTCCAATCCCTCACTCCAGCTCAAAGACCGACTCGGTCATTTTTTTTCTGAAGTAACTGTAGTAAACACAAAGGTATCGCTCGTAATTAATGCGATTAGCCTTTTGCTTATTTACGTTATTAAACAACTAATAATGTGTTGCTAATGTTACATAGATAGACCATGTTTCCGTTCACCATTTCAGTCGGCCTTCAAAGCGTTTCTAAGAATGATGAATTTTAGAACAACTCAGATGTCACTGGAGAAAGCCATATATAGACGAAATTTCAAAAGCGTCACTATATGACGCCCTAGGATGAGAACGCGTTGGATTTTTCATATCAACAGAAAAATATACCAGGTTAACCTTGCTTCTATCGCTAAAATCGCATGGGTTAAATTTTGAGGGAACAAACATACTGATAAAATACACATAAATATACTACTGTTAAAAAGTTTGAGCAGTGCCGGTCCTCCCTAGCCTGACTTCGTCATACTCATTTTCTAATAAGAAAATGAGTCTGAGACCACTCCATTGGGCTTTGATTATGAGGCGTGTCATAACCGAACTAGGAAAAAAAAAACCTCTGCACTCAATTGGATAGTCGGTAAACCTACAACCAATCAGAGCAACGCAGTAAGTCAACGCCTTTGCATAGCGCATTTTTCAAATACAGAACGTAGCCTAACTTTATTTATTTTAGAAGTTAAACAACGAGTGTTGCTTCTTTTACTTACTTCTCCATGAGTGCCACCAAAGGAGAAACCACAACGGCCACAGGCTTTTCATTACGTCCAATCTTCTTAACGACCGTCAGAGCCAGCTGATAAGTTACAGTTTTCCCGAATCATGTAGGAAGGACGCCAAAAATATCTTTCCGATCGACAAATGCCTTGATTGCAGTTTTCTGTTTGTCTATTAAAATTAATGCACTGTCGATTTATTTTACAAAAGACGTGACAGCGGAATCTGTTCATCTCAATTCTCCAGCTGCAGACATCTCTGAGGGAAATCAGTTAGCGCTCTTTGATAACGTGATGATTACGTCCTTGCAGATCACCTGTCCATCATCGTATAAAGCCCGCCCTGGCAATTTGATTGGCCCGATCATTTCTTGCCTGATCATAATTTCTCCTTAATGGATCGAGTCCAGACCGAACTTCCCGACCAAAAAATTTTGTGGGCGGAGTTCGGCCTGGCATCCAGGCTAGGTCCTCCCTATACACAGTGCGCAAGTTGCCCCATTACTCTCAAAAAAAGATTTAATGACTAGGGATGCATTTATAGAATTTTAGTTTTGATTTTGGCTTCCAATGATTATGAAAGCATGATGCCGCATTTGGTTCATTTCCCTTAAAGTGGTGCATTGTTCCTTGGACGTACCATCCAAATTAGCCATGTAACATCACTGTTGAAATATATAATCTCCTGCTGGAATAAAAAGAGTTAAACGTATTGAGGCGGCTTTCTGTGCGCCTGCTCCGAGTCAGAGGGAAACACTGACAACCAAGTGGCTTTGGGTTTCAGGTGTGCGCTTAAACGGACTAATACACACTTTAATGCAGTCGTTATGTCTTAAGTAAACAAACAGTTGGGAAACAGTTTTATTTTTATATTTGATTATTTAATTCAATTTCTGTAAAGCTATTATTATTAGTAGGTTCAATAGTTTTTCATTTTTACCTTTTTTCAATTGTATTTGCTCCATTGTTTTTACTTTTATTTTAAAGGGGTGATGAACTGAGAAATCAAATTTTCCTCAAGCTTTTGACATCTAAGAGGTCATCATATTATAAGAATATCCTGTAACTGAAACTCATTATAATATGCAAAACTATTTTCCACTCACAGCAGTGGGCGTTTACTTCCAACTCTTCAGTGCGAGACGCCCATAAAAACCGAGAAAACGTCATAAGTTGACCTCAGACAACAATATAAAACAATTTAAAAAGCCAGTTCATGACTCCTTTAAGTTATTATTGACTGTTTCAACTCACTGTTGCTTGTTGATTAAGGGGTTAGGGGTCATAAGGGTTGTTCATGAACGCACTGACCATTGTTTTGCTTAGAGCCCCAGGAAATGTTTTTAAACATGCTCAAAAAGCTGCATTTATTGAATCAAAAATATTTCTGTTTTAATTTATTGTGTCATTTATTACTGTGTTGGCAAGATGGTCACATGATCCTTCAGAAATCATTCTAATAAGCTGATTTGCTGCTCAAGAAACATTTCTTATTATTATCAATGTTGAAAACAGATGTGCTCCCTCATATTTTTTCTGAAAACCATGATACAATTTTGTTTAGACTTTGATGAAAGAGAAAATAATAGAATTTATTTGAAAGAGAAATCTTTTGTAACATTATAAATGTCTTTACTGTCACTTTTGATCAATTTAATGCGTCCTCGCTATATAAAAGTAGTCATTTCTACATAAATTAATAAAACTTAAAGACCCCAAACCCTTTAACAGTAAATGGAAATAACTTTGGATAAACGTGTGATACATCAGCTGCATTTATCCAGCAAGAAAGTACAAGTAGCTTAAAAATAGAAGAAACGGTAACCAAGCTTTGGAATAAGTCTATTGGACGCAAAGGAAGCGTTCAAACAAGCGTGTTTTAAGATGCATGTACGCAGTTCTTTTATTCTGACAATGTCGTCCCAACTTTTCTTGCATTCTCAGCTCTAAACCTTCCCTACCTGCCTGCTTCCCTCTCATCTCAGCAGGGTGCTCTGGATCAAGGAAAGATCAGGATCAAGGTGTGACACTCACCTGTGTCAGAGCAGCTCTGACTTTGAGAGCCGGCTGTTCAGGAAGCACTTTCTTTCCATAAAGGAACCCCAGACTGATGTGACTTTTAACAGCCATTTCCCAAACAGGACAAAAAGTGTCATAGCTCCTTTGTTGCAGTAGAAACACATGTCATGTTCATACAGCAGTAGACTGAACGGAGAGAGACCAACCTCGAGTTGATCCCATTTGCCCCTGAGGGCCGTCAGCCGCTGGTCAAAGTCAGCAGGAAGTTCAGTGCCGCTCCTCTTCAGGGATTCAGACCAGCCCAGAAGCTGAGTCTTCTTGGGAAGCCACATGGACATCTCCACACTGTTCCCCTGTAGAAACACACACAGCAGTCAGAGGGTGAGAGAAGCACAGTTACCATTCAAGAATGGGCTTTTGCGATTTTTTTACAACATAAATGAAGTGGGGAAATGGATTTGTAAAGTGTTTTCTCCACCCTTTGAATAGTTGATAATACAAAAACAGTAGTGTAAATACTCTATTGTAAATACTGATCAGTGATAGGGAGCAAATATTTTAAAGCTACACTGTGTGATTTTTACCCCCATCTAGCGGTGAAAATGTATATGATTATTAAGTGAATATTAGTTTCTGTTCCTCTCAATTCCGATTTCGTTTTAACTCCTACGGTGGCCAATGTAGTCCGAGATTAACATGGCTTCCAGTTCGACCTCGTCCATGAGTGTTAACTCAAACGTAAACGCGAAAGGCGAAGCTTGAATTCAGTGTTGTAGTACTCGAGACTCGGACTCGTCTCGGACTCGGTCTCGAGACCATATTTTAATGGTCTTGGTCTTGTCATGGACTCGTGTCCATTTGGACTCGGAATTGACTCGTACTCGAACATTTTTTTTTTTAGGGCTCGGAATTATTCCCGAGTTCACTCGAGTTCAATTAAAAATATTTTTCATGATTATTAATGTATGTTAATAAAATATTTCTTTAAATTGATTGACACGCCCAGTGATTGGTGATTTTCTAGTGCGCAACTGCGCATGACAAATTTTAATAAAATTACTTTTAACACCACCTACTATGTGGCCTTTTGACCCCAAATTTTTTTAAACATATTTTTTAAACTCTAAGTAAATTCAGTAAAAAAAAAAAAAAAAAGGGATTTCTCTAAGTAAAAGTAAATTAGGTAATCAACCCTCACTGGTCTCGGTCTGGACTCGGACTCGACCGTCTCTGGTCTCGGACTCGACTCTCTATGGACTCGGTCTTGACTCGGACTCGACTCTCTATACGCCTTATTCACGGCAGCGCCATCTTTGATTTTTAATGAGAATGAAAGCGAGGCTGTGAGGGGTAGACTTGCATCTCTTCAATGGGCTGTATTGTTATTTAATGTGTTTTCGGATTGTTCTGCTCATGAAACACAGGAAAAATACCTTTCAATGAAATGTTAGTTGACAAAAAACTCCTGACAATGTAAGCTGTGGAAAATTGTAAGTAATCTAGGAGCTTTATTCCGCTTTTTACAGCGGATGCCATTGAAAACACAGTAAGTCTATCCCTCACAGCCTCACTTTCATACCTGTCATGGCGCTGCTCTGAATAAGGTCTATGGACTCGGTGTCGACTCGGACTCGAGTGAGGTGGTCTCGACTACAACACTGCTTGAATTAACGGGTATGTCCCTCTTTGGCTAATGTACATTCAAGATGGACACTTTCAACATTAGAACCCCTTACCCGTATGTATTTTCAATGGCATATTATACACTCACGAGAATACTTTATTACTTGAACGAAGTAAATATACATTAATGAGCACATATATTTTTGAAAGAACTAAGTGTTTTTTAGCTAAGAATAAACTAAGAGAGTTACACAGTGTACCTTTAATAGTTTGCCACAGTCAATACGAAAATGTTACTTATCACACTTTTAAAAAGCATTTTTCTTAGTAATTTTTGTGACGTTTTTTATGTATTGTGTTTTTAGTTGAGTCTTGTGTTTATTGAGTATTTGTTATTGTGTGTACCTGCCTAGGGACTACGGACGTAAATTAGCAATACTGCTATAATCTGGCTTGTTTACATCTTGCATTCTGTACAAATGTTCATCAACATGCTTTGTCCCTTTCAAAAATTAATAAATAAATAAATAAATAAAACAAATAAATAGTAAAAATCACAGAGCCCCTTGCATGAGGTGAATTTTTTTTATTACATTTTATTTTATTTATTTAATGTAATTGTATCATTCTAATATGCTGCTCAAGAAGTATTTCTTATCATTGTCAATGTTGAAAACAGTTGGAAACAGGATTTTTTGATGAATAGAAAGAACAGCATTTATTTGAAATAGAAATGATTTGGAACATTATAAATGATTTAATGTTACTTTTAATAAATTAAATGCATCCTTCCTGAACAAACATATTCATTTCTAAAAAAACATTTCTTACTTAACCCAAACTTTTGAACTTTAATTTATTTTGTTAATCAAATTTACTCAAATGTATGATTTTAATAATCTCCAATCAAAAACATAATTCCCTATTTTAATCAAGCATTTAAATAAATAGTAAACAAATGAGGAAACATTTTCCATTTAAAACAACAAAGCTACAATTGGGTTCCAGTATAAGTACATAGTACAGTGTACAGATGAAAGTTAAGTACATGCTATGTATCAAATTTAAGAAGAGAATCTGCTCATTCAGATAATACCAGATCTGTGATCTGAATGATTTTTGAAGGATCATGTGACTGAAGACTGGAGTATTTACTAATGAAAATTTAGCTTTGCATCACAGAAATAAATTACATTTTAAATTTTATATTAAATTGTAATAATATTTGACAATATTACTGTTTTTTTCTGTATTTTTGATCAAATAAATGCAGGCTTAATAACCATAGGAAACTTCAAAAAGATTAAAAATAGTAGTTTCCAAACTTTTGTCCGGCACTGTATGCTACTTCAGGAAAACAGTGGTCATATGTGATCGTTATTTCTAATTGGCTAACTGAGTCTTAGGCCACTCGCCAACACAAGTGTGATTGAATGCTGATTTCTGTTTGAATGCTGGACTAACATACAGTAAAAGATGAAAGTGATGCTATTCAACACCTTATTTCAGTTAATTCCTCTCTATCTCTCTGTCTTTCTATCTCTCTCTCTCTCTGTCTCTGTCTCTCCCCCATTTCATTTTCTGCATCAATAGCTACTTGATTCTAGTTTTCGGTTGTCATTTATCATTATGGCGGATGCGCATTTAAATATTTAAATGTGCTGTTTTCCCCCCTTTCCTTGCTGTCATCCGGCCAGCGTTCATTTTTCACTGTCGTTTGTTTTGATGGAGATGGTATCACACATCCTTTTAAATCATTCATCCCTTTCAGTTTTTAATAGTGGCCGCCAAACTAAAGACGCTCCGCTTTAAAGTAAAGGGGATTACACAATTTGTTTGTTGACAGCAAATATTGATTTTAAGTCCTTTCGTTGGTTTAAAAAATGGCAGGTTATTGATGGAGAACGCAGACGGAGGGAAAGATAGCCTGAGTAATTAGAATGCCAGAGCGATGGGAAGTTGAAGCATCATGCTAACATTAGCTACGTGCATGGATGACTTTTGGCCCTTGAGTCACTTTCCTCGTTTCAACTAGATAGGGCGATTTGCATACTTAACCCAAGGAGTTCGAGCTTGAAAACTTTATAGTCAACTGTGTAATTGACGGTAAGGGAAAACATATTCAGGGCCAAAGATGCCACCGAGGTGGAGGTGTGACGGAAATACATGATCCTGGCATTGCTCTGGTAACCTGATGAGCACAGCTAAAAAATAAAAGTTTGTTTTTAAAAACAGGTTATCAGTGCACAACAGGACACACTTACAACTCATCATAGTACGGGTACATCACATTACTAAACTACATTTTTCTGAAGCAAAACATACCAAAACACACTATCCAATGTAAGGTCTATGGTAACTGCTCATTTTGTACTTTTTGGTTTCGTTTAAAATAAAATTACACTCAAACATACATATATATATATTTTTTAAGGGCTGTCAATAGATTATAATTTTAAATTTAATTAACAACACGATGTGGCAATTAAATAATCAAATTAATTGCAAATTAATCACATCAAATTTGCCTGGGAAATTACCGCCTAAATGGTCATTTAAAGACATTATTGTGTTAAACGTGAAAAGCAACAAATAGACATACAAAAAGTAGCTTTAGAATACATATATATGTTTATGTTTCTTTTATATTCAACATAGAATTCATTACACATAAACATTTATGCTTTAATGGCCTTAAGGGTGAGTAAATGATGGCTGAATTTCTATAATTTTATGCATAGGTTTTTTTGAATAATATGGAAATATCTTATTTTTATGAAATGATACTCATATGAAACAAAAACTACCAGAAGGTGGCAGTAAATGTGTAAATGAGTACGTCATTGAATCATTCATTCATTCATTCGAATCGTTCAAACGGCTGATTCATTCATAAATTAAGTTAAAGGAGAACTCCGGTCAATTTTAACATTGAGCTCATTTTTTATACATTTGGAGTGCTGTCAGTACAGACAAAAACGACAAAAATCGGTGTTGCCTACAGCGTGTTATCGTCTTTCAAAATTCGCAACCTGTTGACTTCAATGGGGCATGTTCTAAACCTGCTTTTAGCCTCTTAACATCCTTGATTTGTCATTATATGTGCACAGCCATAAAGAGTGACCACGGTCAATCTGACTGCAGTAGATGTGAAAGATATGAATAAAAATGATGTTAATTCAGCCAGCTCACATACCTCTATTTGCTTCCTGTTTTTCGGTCGAAGCCCACAGTAGTCGATTGTCGAGTTCATGCGCGCGATCATTGGTAAACATCATCTCAAACCTCCTCCGTGTGTTCAACATCTGATTCGGATGAACTATCCATTTGAGCTGATATTCTCAGAACACTACATAGTGTTGGGTTTGAGATGATATTCACCAATGATCGCGCGCATGAACTCGACAATCGACTACTGTGGGCTTCGCCCTATTTGGTTACACCTCTACTCCTTTTCCAAAGGACATCCTGGGATTTTTAATGACCACAGAGAGTCAGGACCTCGTTTTAACATCTCATCTGAAGGACGGTGCTTTTTGACAGTATAGTGTCTGCTTCACTATACTGGGGTGTTAGGAGTCAGGACCCACACAGACCACAGGGTGAGCACCCCCTGCTGGCCTCACTAACACCTCTTCCAACAGAAACCTAGATTTCCCAGGAGGTCTCCCATCCAGGTACTATCCAGTGCGTTTCCCGAAAGCATCGTTAGCCAACTATGGTCGCAAGT